TCCTCTCCCCCTGACCTTCCCAGACCTGCTTCCCTCAACTTCATATTTCTGACAGTAGCATCACCCTTCCAGCACAATGAAAATCTCCCCTCTGACTTTTCTGTTATCAGTTACTAGGCCTTAACAACTGTCCACTCTTCTTTTTTTTTTTAAAAGATTTTATTTATTTATTTGAAAGAAAGAGAATGAGAGATAGAGAGCACGAGAGGGAAGAGGGTCAGAGGGAGAAGCAGACTCCCTGCTGAGCAGGGAGCCGGATGTGGGACTCGATCCCAGGACTCCAGGATCATGACCTGAGCCAAAGGCAGTCGCTTAACCAACTGAGCCACCCAGGCACCCAACTGTCCACTCCTCTTGAACTGGATGCCTTTTACTCATTGTGTGAGGCCAGACAAAGCTTCCTGCCTCCTCTCCAACCTTTCCTCATCAGATCACCCTTTCACTACCTCCAAATTCATTATTTTTTAAATGTTATTTTTAAGGCTTACTTATATTTTAAATATTTAAATATTGCAAGATTCATCAATTATTAACATCCTGCCACATCTGCTTTATTTCTCTCTCTGACACAGGTCTCATGATGCCACCTCAGCATGTACCTCTTAAAAATGGGGCCATCCTGGGGCACCTGGCTGTCTCAGTCGGTGGAGCATGCAACCCTTGACCTCAGGGTTGTAGGTTTGAGCCCCAGGTTGGATGTAGAGATTACTTAAAAATAAACTCTTTAAAAACAACAACAACAACAACAACAAAACGGGGGCATCCTCTTACATCACAACATTACAACTCATCAAACTGAAATAATACCTTTACGGTCCAAGTTCAAATTTCCCCAACTGTCCATATAATGTCCTTGATGGCTTTTTTGTCATCATGCAGAATCCAATCAAGGATCATGCAGTTACATTTAGTTGTCATTCTTTTCTTTTCTCCTTTAATCTAAAATCAACTCTTTTTTTTCTTTCACAAAATGGACATTTTGAAGAATCCAGGACAACTGTTTCACAAAATGGTCCTGCATTTGAATTCATCTGCATGTTTCCTCATAATAGCATTAGGGTTAAGCCTTCCGGGCAGGGAAACTACATAGGTAATGTTTTGACACCAAAATCATTCTTAAAACAGCAATGTCATCATTCACTCTGTGGCTCCAGACCCTCACTCTCTTCTTGAGAAAGCCACGCTCCTGCCTTGAACTCACGGTTCCTCCATGTGTCGTCCCTCCCCCTCACACAGAGCTGCACCAACACAAACCTCCTGTCTCCGGCCAACGCAGTCCCTTCACCGTCACCAAACGTGCTAATGTCAGAGAGTATCAAGACCTTCAGATACCACTCAGCCCAACGTCCTCGTCTGACAGAAGAAACCTTTTGCTGCAAGAAAGGAAGGGACCTGAAGAGGAAAGGAAAATGGGCCTTGTCTAGAAAAAGGAATCCTGACTCCTCACCATGTCTTGCGAGGAAGGACTGCGCAGTGAGGAACCCTTTCACTCTTATCTCCTACTCCAATGCCCTGGGGCAGGGGAAGAATTAAACTAAGTAACTCTGTTCTAAGGACCTCTAACTGGTTGGTCCACTGAAACTACAAAGGCAGATCCTAGACCTTCAGTGCCATTTTTTTTACACATTTCAATTAAAACACACTGGGTCTCAGGCGCCTTGGTGGCTCAGTTGGTTGAGCGACTGCCTTCGGCTCAGGTCATGATCCTGGAGTCCCGGGATCGAGTCCCGCATCGGGCTCCCTGCTCGGCGGGGAGTCTGCTTCTCCC